TGTTATCTTAATATCAGTATCCAAGACCTAATGTATATACTGCCAGTTGTACCTCAGCCTTAGTTTTCACAATCTGCTGTATATATGTACTGATAGTTCTACCTAAGTAAAAATGTTTATATCAGCTGTGTATATACTCATGTCTTATTTTGACTGGTTTGGGATTGGGTATTTTGGTCTTATTTCAGGAGAAAATGTGTGAAGTGGGAAGGATGTTTTCAGGTGTGAATTTCAAATTTTTTGGAATTTCGTTAAAATATGAAATAATTTCAATTCAAATTCATGAAACCATTATTAGCTATAAAAATCCCCCCAAATGCTCTGATGCTGTCATTTGTATCTCAGCATTGATTTGTACGGCCTGCCAGTTAGGTAACATATCAGTGCTGAAACTAAGACAAAGTCTAGAAATATTGCGTCATAACTGAAATCTTATATTCCACATGGAAATACACTTTCACATTTGTGGCAATGTCATTGATTGTTAATGGTCATTTTTCTCTCTTTAAACCTATCAGAATGTGTGTCTTATTGCATATTACTTGTAATTCCCTCATGTGGAGTGTTACCTCATTACTTTCATGAAGGCTTACACAATATCTGTACCACTAAGACCCCAATTAATGTAAACTAGAAAAGTTTTACTTTTTTAAACAGCAAGATTCAAATTATAAAAGTTAATCATGCAAATTTTATATACTTATGCCAGTAAATCAATAAACCTACATATGTAAACAGAACTAATTATAACTGGCCACTTCCAGTATTTCTTTCTAGACTTTGTCACAATATCAAAATATGTATTGTACTTAAGGAATTATATTGCTTTACTGTGCAATTACATCTATAAATACTTTCATGCAAATCCTTAAGCTTATTTGCATATTAAACTGGATGCATAACTTTGTGGAATTTTTTTACATGTTGACATCTGACTTTGAGTAACCTTTGTCTTAGTTCCATTTTTAGCTCACCTAGCCCTAGGGCAAATCGAGCTAATTATGGCATATACTGCAGCATCTGTTGACTGTCCCTCTGCCCTTGGGGCCTGACGGATTGGTCTCAAAAGGAAAAATTTTGAAAATTCTTTAAAAAGTTTTTTTTATGTATGAATGTTTTGATTTTGACCAAATTTGGCCAGAAGCATTAGGTTAAGTCCTTCTTCCTCTGTAGCAAAGTCAAGATTTTGTCCCAGCTTGGTCTGAAACATCCCGGTGTGAAGGGGAATCAATTTCATATAAACTATGAGCTTGAGGAGCTCCACACCCTGAGGCAAAAGGTGCAGGGTGCAGTAAAGGAATGGAGATGAAGTAAATACAGCCAACTTCAAAATTCATCTTCTTCTCTAGAAGTGGCAGGTTTCTGTCCTAATTTGGTTTGAAAGATCCTTAGGTGAAGGGGAATTGATTTTAATTAAATGGTTTGACTCAGTCACCTTGAGAAGGAGGGTCAGGGCCCAGTTGAGGAAATAGAACAAAAAAAAAAATTCTGTAGGAATTTGGTGCCAATTTTGTCTGATTGAGCATGGATGGGTGAAGAGAAATCTATTTTGTATGCACAGTGGATCTAGGCCACATGGAATGGGAGGGGTGGGGCCTGATAGGGGTAATACACTTAATTATTGAAAATTAATCTCTTCTTTAAGAATTGCAGGATTCTGACCAAATATGGTCTGAAGCATGCTTTGGTGAAGCAGAACTGTGTATAAATGATTTACCTAACCTCTTGGAGGCAGAGGGTCAGGGCCCAATGGGATAGATAATAGATAAAACACTTGGAATTTCTTTTCCTTAAGTTTGGATGAAACAATTTCAGTCAAACAAAGAAAGGTAGATGATACAGGCCCAATAGGCATATTGTTATCAGTTAAAGCTGTTCTATTTTCAATAGATATTTTTTATTCTTGAAATATTGAGATAGTAATAATTGGTATTGTTTGTAATTACATCATACAGCAGCCCGTTTCCTTTCCTGATAATGTGAGTTTTAAGACTTTGATGTGCTTCACCAACTGTGCACTATATATATTGCCTGGTATACACGTACACAATATCTTACTAGTAACAACTTGTGATTTGCATTACCTGTTAAGTGAAAGTTGCATATAAATTGTATTCTAAGCTGTATTTTGCTGGATTATGAGAAACCGTACAAAATTCAGATGTGAAATTTCTTTGCAATACCTCAATTTTGTAGTTACAGCTGTATTGTGTAGTGATCAGATCAAATCAGAATTTAAATTTTACAGCAGTAAAATTGATGTAGAAAGATCAGGTGTATTGATGTACAACAGGTTCATTGATGTAGAAAGTTCAGGTATATTGATGTAGAACAGGTTCATTGATGTAGAAAGTTCAGGTATATATATACTGAAAAGATAAAGAAATGCAACTTCTTTTATTGTACAATATTTTGTATTGAATCTACATAGCTGTATAAAAAGTAAGAGGAATGATAGTAAATGATATATTAGGACACCTTTTTACCTAATCCTCCATTAAATGTTAAAAATCTGCCTCTGTGACAAAAAACTTACTCACATCCGGTGCACCTAAATTACCAATATACAGTGACTGTACAAATACCTGCGTTCTTTCCCATTCAAACTAACATCAGTTTCTGACTATCACTAAGATGTGTGATTACCAATACATTTGTAATCAATAAACATGCCACAGCTATCCCAACTTGATAGAGGACAGACTCCGGCAATGCTCATTGAAGGTAGCACTTGACAGCAGTTAAATACTCACTTCGGAGTTCACAAATTAACAAGTTGGTTAGTTTTTACGTCTCAATGCAATGGAAAGATGTGAAGACAGACCGAGATCCAGGCGTCCACGTATAATGTGGGGACGTCAAGATCAGTTCATTAGACTTGCCCACCTGCATGACAAGAGATTACTGGCGGCCAAAATGGCACAATATACCTTGGTAATCAAAACTGTCAAGTCTTCCCAAAAACTAAGAAACAGACAGCCTACTATGCCAGTATGTTGGTTTGCCTTTGACACCTCAACAAAGAACAGGTCTTATGCCATGGTTGACAGTATATGTATCCAGACATTTCCCTGAGACGTTGGAGGTTGAGACGTTTGAGGTTCATGCTCTTTAGGGATAAATAACACTTTGTGTTATTTCAATCAGATGGCAATCAACGTGTATACTGCTGTAGAGAAGATTGCCTTGCAGACGCTGGTGCTTTGGAGCACAACTGGTTTGGATGGATCAGTTATGGTTTGGAGGGAAATTTTGCATGATTTTAAGACACCTGTAGTGATCCTCAATGATAATTGAACAACTCTTTCTATTGAGATGAGATCCGAAGTCATCATGTTGTGCCTTTCATTGTTAAGCACCTTTTGGTCTTTCAGCATGGTAACTCTAGGCTAGGAGATGCAGGAGTTTTGTAAGGACTTTCTTGTTATCCAGAACATTATCCCTGTTGACTAGCCTCTACATAGTTCCAATTTTCCCCCTTTCGAACACTTGTGGGACAAATTGGACAGAAGAGCACGGAATCAACCAAACATCCCAAACAACCTCCACCAGTTGGCAAACGCTTACCACAGAATAGAATAACATTCCTCTATGGCCAGTCAATGTCCTTATGAACTCTGTGTCATGCAGAATAAGAAACGCTACTGCTTTTCAGGAAGGGCACTCATGATATTTGGGATCAGTTTGACAATATAACTGCCATTATATCAACTTTGTGTACCCTAATTCATGACGGCCTGACAAAGTCCTTTTTATTTAAAAATCCCAGAAAATTTGAAAATCAATTGTCCAATATTTGAAGTTAACTATCGCATTTCATATTTAGGCAAGTTAATCGTAATTAATATTTCAACACACCGTTAATTTTAAGTTGCATTTCTTTTTCCTCTTAGTATATATAGATGTATGGATGTAGCAAGTGATTATCAGTATCGTACTGACAATTTGCATTAGTAAGGTAGTTTCAGAATTTCAGAATAATGCAATTTGCATGCTATGCACCTACATCTTAGTTTTGGTATCCAGGTACTTGTGTTTAAAGTCAGAAGGCTACACATTGTTTATCACATGGATGTCTTGTTAATCTGTGAGTATAACCATGTCAGACATCTCTATATTCTATTTACATGTTTAGTACGACTTTTTGTGATGTCAGGTTTAGGTAGTGAAATGTTTTATATAGATATTTTCTGTGTAAATCTCTGGGTACTATAGTGTGGTCACTGATGCAGCCCTGTTAGCAATGCATATAAAAATTTTCTTGTAAAGTCAACCCAATGCATTTTTAGCTACTCCATGTATATTTATAGATACAAAATGCTAAAATTATAGATTTAACAATTGAAAAAGAGTAAAAGACATTCCTTAATGGAGAAATATATTGTTTAAAGGAAGAATTGTCTCTTGGAATCAGAGAAGAAAATTTTACATTAAAGGGCACATTTTAAACTTGTCAGTTTTCAACTGACTGGGCATGATATTTCTAGTTACCTATGAAAACTAAATCCTGTCAGCTTTTGGTGATCAGTTTGATATAAATTTTCATGTGGCATATATTGTGTCTGTTTATTTGATACATAGACATATCAAATGTTCAGTTTATGTACGTATATAATGGCATTGCTGTCATGAAATGTTGTTGTAGATCAAATAAACAAAATATATTATCGCTAATGGGATTGTTTATCTACAAATCTACAAATATATAACTTCAAGGAATATTTTATATTTATGTTTTTAAAAATAAAATTATCTATATTGGCTTTGTTTACTCATTCCCTTCCACGACTATTATAATAATGTACAGGATTTGGTTGAATTGTGTTAAATGTGCAAGGAATACTGCCTTGTGATTTTTCATTATATGTAGACTTGTGTGTAGGATGTCCGATTGTCAACAAAGTCATTCATGGTTTGTAATTCTTTGTAATTACAGTATAAAAGCTTTTAGTGTGATATTTCTTGTTATATATATCCTTAAGGCTATGGTTTATTTCTAGTTTCCAGAGCACGGATTTTATGGCCTAGTGGACAAGATTCTTCTATTCCGCCATGATGTCAGTAGTGCCAATGTTCTCCAAATGATCAACTCACCAGCCGACGTTAAGGAAGGATGTTTGGTGGAGGTTGTCTTATCTGGTATGTGTACAGGAAATACACACTTTTACTCAGTAAATATACACTATTACTCAGTAAATATACACTATTACCTAGTAAATAAACATTGTTACCCCAAAGATATATGCTGTTACCCAGTAAATATATATTGTTACCGATAGCAATAACTCAATACATTCACTGTTACTCAGTAAAAATCATACTTAACGTATTTTCATGAGTGGTCGGGCGGATGAAGAGTATAGTCTGAACATCGATTCTGGACCGTTACGTATTTAAGAATGGCCATTTTTTTGAGGCGTTTGATGTGCAATATCGACCTGCATGACCTTGTACCCTGATAATTTTGGTTGCTGTAACATGTTACACTACAAGAAAGAATGAAAAATATTTATTCAAATCAAGGACACAGTACGAGACTTCGGTGCCAAGTTATTTTACAAGTACCTGTCCATCAAGTGTTTGTGACTGAAACAGACAGTTTAGAACTGTCATTTGTAACCATATTCAGGATGGTTTCATTAATCATACCTTTTAATATGAATCGCTATATTATCTTCTGAACTTTCGTAATTGCTTTAGAAGCCATCGCAGAAGTTAACACTAGCCTAGCGCATCCTTGGATCGATAGGTCTTCAGGTCAAATTCTGGAATGACTGCCATGCTTGTTTACGATAAGAATGGCATCGTGTAACTTATAAGAAATCAAATTGGACTATAAGAATTATATTGGCATAAATTCTTGTTACCGCTATTTCTGAGAAAGTATTGGATGGATCTTCCTCAAATTTCATATGCAGTTTCCCCTTTGTCCCTAGTTGTGCATTGTACCTTTTTTGGACTGATTCAAATTCAAGATGGCAGACAGGCAGCCATCTTGGATTTTGGAAGTAAAAGTTTGTTACTGCTATTTCTTGGAAAGTACTGGATGGATCTTTCTCAAATTTCATATGCAGTTTCCCCTTAGTCCCTAGTTGTGCATTGTACCTTTTTTGGACTGATTCGAATTCAAGATGGCCGACAGGTGGCCATCTTGGATTTTGGATGTAAAAGTTTGTTACTGCTATTTCTTGGAAAGTACTGGATGGATCTTTCTCAAATTTCATATGCAGGTTCCCTTTGGTTCCAAGTTGTGCATTATACCTTTTTTGACTGATCCGAAATCAAGATGGCAGACAGGTGGCCATCTTGGATTTTGGATGTAAAAGTTTGTTACTGCTATTTCTTGGAAAGTACTGGATGGATCTTCCTCAAATTTCATATGCAGGTTCCCCTTGGTCCCTAGTTGTGCATTGTACCTTTTTTGGAGGAATTCAAGATGGCTGACAGGCAGCCATCTTGGATTTTGAGAGTAAAATCTTGTTACTGCTATATCTGAGGAAGTCCTGGATGGATCCTTCTAATATTTCATAGATATTGGTTTCCCTTGGTCCCTAGTTGTGCATTGTACCTTTTTTGGACTGATTTGAAATCAAGCTGGCCCACAGGCAGCCATCTTGGATGTCGACAGTAATACAGCACAAGCATATTGTCCATTATCCACCTGTAACTGACTGCTATCTAATAATACTTTGGGATCTTTTTCAAATGATATTTGCTAATAGGTGCTTAATAAAAATATCTTGTGCCATCATTGAGTACATTCAATGAAGACCACTTCATGAACATTTACAACACCTGTAACAAACAAAAAAAAAAAAAACAAATCTTCAAGAACTGAAAACAGATCCTCAAATGGTGGGCGCCAAGATCCCTCTGGGATCTCTTGTTAAGTAAACCATATGAAACGTCAGGCCTTATATCTGTGTGTATACAATCTTTGAAGACTGCCAATCTAAACCAGTTTGATAATCGCTATTTTATGTTTTTCAAATACATCAATAAAATAAAGAGTTATCTTTGTATCATTCATTTGCAAACTTATATTAAATGTTTCACTGATGATCTTGATAAAATGCCTTCCATTGTCTGTTATATCAACGAACTTTGGTCAACATAACGGTTACCACTTCGTAAGAAAGGATGCTGCTTAAATTCCTGTGCATCTTATATGTGGATCAAATAGAAAAAATTGCTAAAAACCAGCCCTGCGGCTTATACTCAGGTGCAGTTAATAGCTCGGATAATATGGTACACATTACAGAATATATCAATTGTTATCCAGTAAACAAGCACTTTTCCCAAACTAAATACACACACAGTGGCCGAGTGATGAAGGCATCAGACCATCTGTATCACTCGCCCTCAACCTCTGAGTTGCGGGTTCGGGGCCTACACAGGGCTGTTGCCTATGTAGAAGTATTTGCAGATGATGGCCTCTGACCAATATCTTTGGCCTCATGTCAGCTGTTTTTCTCTGAGAACTACTCGATTCTTCTACCATGCAAACCTGGCACATCCTTAAATGACCCTGGCTGTCCGTAGGATGTAAAGTAAGTGTTAACTAATACATACACAGCAACTCCATTAATATACATTAACCCTTAGCTTAATACATACACAGTAACCCAGTAAACATACACTCATCCTTAACTAAATACATACACAGTAACCCAGTAAACATACACTCATCCTTAACTAAATACATACACAGTAACCCAGTAAACATACACTCATCCTTAACTAAATACATACACAGTAACCCAGTAAACATACACTCATCCTTAACTAAATACATACACAGTAACCCAGTAAACATACACTCATCCTTAGCTTAATACATACACAATAACCCAGTAAACATACACTCACCCTTAACTAAATACATACACAGTAACCCAGTAAACATACACTCACCCTTAACTAAATACATACACAGTAACCCAGTAAACATACACTCACCCTTAACTAAATACATACACAGTAACCCAGTAAACATACACTCACCCTTAACTAAATACATACACAGTAACCCAGTAAACATACACTCACCCTTAACTAAATACATACACAGTAACCCAGTAAACATACACTCATCCTTAACTAAATACATACACAGTAACCCAGTAAACATACACTCATCCTTAACTAAATACATACACAGTAACCCAGTAAACATACACTCACCCTTAACTAAATACATACACAGTAACCCAGTAAACATACACTCACCCTTAACTAAATACATACACAGTAACCCAGTAAACATACACTCACCCTTAACTAAATACATACACAGTAACCCAGTAAACATACACTCATCCTTAACTAAATACATACACAGTAAACATACTCTTTTTTTTTACTCCTAACTAAATATATACAGTGTTGCCCACTAAACATGTACACACAGAATGTAATGTGTTTAATAATTCAGACAAAGATTAATAACTTATGTTTAATCACAGGTACTTGTTTGTATGTCTGACCTTCAACATTGGTATAGTTTCAAGAATATCCATACATACAGGTTCTATTTTTGGCTGAATTCCACTTTCTTGGGAGATTGGATTTACATTGAAATTGCATTCACTGATTCAGTCCAAGAAGCCTAATTTGTAAAGACTGTGGTAATTTCCCAGGCTGATGTCTTGACTGTAAATACATTTTACTACATCTACACAGATGCATTCCTCAAGGTTAAAGGCCGTACCAGAATGACATTAATAAAGAATCAAAGTCTGTATTTGAATTTCTAGAACAGTAATCAATTGTTTTAACTAAATTTGTAAATTAAATACTGGCAACATTGTAGTTGATAGAAGTGATTAATCAATAAATATTAAAGGAAAATTAATTAACATTCTCTCTGTAATACAGGAACAGCGTTGAACCCAATAACCGTATTACCTGTCACAACATAGATTAGTGACACGTAGTTGGACACAATGGGTTTAATATGTCAGAGTACAACTTCATCAAAAAAAGTTGTTTGTGTCAGACAAATAATTGGTACCAAGTTGTCAGCGGTAGATCACTCGAAACAAGAAGTTAGTGTCAGATCACAACTTGATTTTAAGTTCACAGTGTCAGATCACAACTTTTTAGCATGTGATCAGTGTCACATTACAACTTGTAAACAAGTTGTTAATATCAAATCACAACTTGGTAACAAGTAAATAGAGTGCTATGTAACAAATTGTTGGTGTCAGATCACAGCTTGGTAACAAGATTTTAAGTTCACAGTGTCAGATCACAACTTTTTAGCATGTGATCAGTGTCACATTACAACTTGTAAACAAGTTGTTAATATCAAATCACAACTTGGTAACAAGTTGTTAATATCAAATCACAGCTTGGTAACAAGTAAATAGAGTGCTATGTAACAAATTGTTGGTGTCAGATCACAGCTTGGTAACAAGTTGTTGATGTCAGATCTCAACTTAGTAACAAGTTGTTAGTATCAAATCACAACTTGGTAACAAGTTGCTAATATCAAATCACAGCTTGGTAACAAGTAAATAGAGTGCTATGTAACAAATTGTTGGTGTCAGATCACAGCTTGGTAACAAGTTGTTGATGTCAGTTCTCAACTTGGTAACAAGTAGATAGTGTCAGATCTCAGCTTGGTAACATTTCCTGGTATAATATTAACCGTTAAAGTCATTAACCATTTGATGGTTTGAAGGAAGGGGAGTTCTTATAGTGCCGTCCATTTGTTTTTGTGGTATTGTGGGCGCCGGGATATTCAGGTCTAACAGACATTTTCTATGATAAGACAACAAATAAAGGTGCCAGTAGTGTTTAAACTAATTGGAAGGAAGCTATTAATTAAAATGCCAAACTGGTTGAACTTTGTGCTTTACATGTAGGCTTATTTATGTAAGGGCACCAGGTACACTGTTGTCATTGAGCACACTAGGTATATTACATGCATGATATATTCTTTAGTTTAATTGTGCCTACTCTCTACATACACGTGCTTTGTGTGTATGACACATTGTTAGATTACTATTTTTAGATTATTATTTCTAATTTGTTATTTCGGTTGCATTTTCTCAATTTCTTCAGCTTCTCCTCAGTTTGGAATAATCTGTGTTTCTTTTTTTTAATAGTAAACACATGTAAAAAAAAATTTCATTGGTTCTAATAAAGAGTATACCTTCTTTGTAATACATTGTATCAACAGTATCTATATGTAGGTATCAATATAATGTTCTTATAAACATTGGTAACTGTATCATAAGTTGTTATACTATATATGAAATCTGTGGTAATACTAAAGTCAGGTCTAAATATACAAATATATCTATGTTATGTTATATAAAGGTAATTGACACAGCATATTTATGATAAATATTAAATTGCCAACTGTGCAGTAAATGCACATCACGTCATTTATGATATGACACTTTTGTATAATAAGAGGTAAGTAGAATTAATATACCTTGTCTCGATTAGGTGTAATATGAATAGGCATCAAGATGTTGCTATATAGATATAGGATCAGATCAGAAGGAGGAACTGAATTATTATGTATGTCATACTGATAAGGATTTATGAAATCATTCTTCACAATAATGGACAAAAGTACAGGTAGGTTATTATCTATAATGTTAATTAAGATCCAGTCACTATTAATGTTGATTTTAAGTACAGGTAGGTTATTATCTATAGTATTAATTAAGATCCAGTCACTATTAATGTTGATTTTAAGTACAGGTAGGTTATTATCTATAATATTAATATCCAGTCACTGTTAATGTTGATTTTAAGTAAGGTAGGTTATTATCTATAATATTAATATCCAGTCACTGTTAATGTTGATTTTAAGTACAGGAAGGCTATTATCTATAATATTAATTAAGATCCAGTCACTGTTAATGTTGGTTTTAAGTACAGGAGGTTATTATCTATAATATTAATATCCAGTCACTGTTAATGTTGATTTTAAGTACAGGAAGGCTATTATCTATAATATTAATTAAGATCCAGTCACAGTTAATGTTGATTTTAAGTACAGGTAGGTTATTATCTATAATATTAATATCCAGTCACTGTTAATGTTGATTTTAAGTACAGGAAGGCTATTATCTATAATATTAATTAAGATCCAGTCACTGTTAATGTTGATTTTAAGTACAGGTAGGTTATTATCTATAATATTAATATCCAGTCACTGTTATCATTGATTTTAAGTACAGGTAGGTTATTATCTATAATATTAATATCCAGTCACTGTTATTATTGATTTTAAGTACAGGTAGGTTATTATCTATAATATTAATTAAGATCCAGTCACTGGAGATCATTGGTGAGGAGTACAGTCTTAATGAAGTCTCAACTGGAAATTGTTGTATCACTTCCAGCATATTGTCCAACTTTTGACGCGCAGGCTTTAATGCTGTGAAATTATCACACAACCTTCAAAGTTTTTTGGAGCACATTATTTGTTGAATTTCTGCTGAAGTTTGTTGCCATTTTTCAAGGTCATTTGCTATATAATAACGAATAATCTGCCTATTTTAAGTGTAGTTAAGGCAACGGAGAAGCAACATAGCCCTAGGCCCAACATGATGCCTCCATATTCCAAACCAATTGGACTCTAGAGGCAGAAGGGAAGTCAATGGCTGACATATAACTGCTGTGATAGTGGATGCACGCACAGTGTTAACAAACACCACAGAGTGTGGTACCAGTCTTTATATCATTACTCAAAATTATCAAAACTGATGGTTATCAACCATGATATGTAAGCCACAGAGCCAATTTTTTAACAATTATTTCAATTTGATCCACATATTAGCGGCATCGAAATATAAGCCGCACCCATTCTTATGATGTGGTTAACCATTATGTCGATCAAATTTTGTTGACAGAAGACAATTAATCAAGATTGTCAGTGAAACTTTAACAAAGTTTGAAAATGAATTATACGCAGATCATCCTTTATTTTATTGATGTGTTTGAGAAATGTAAAATAGCAATTAGCGAACTGGTTTGATTTTGGAGCCTTCAAAGATTGTCTATACACAGATATAGGGCCTGACATTACATATGGTTTACTTATATCTTATTTGGTATCTGTACTGTTATATATTAGCCAAGGCTCTTGCATGCTGACAAAATTCTTATAGTTCCATATTATTTCTTATAAGTTACAAGAATTTGACCAGATGACCTATCGATTGATCGCAGGATGCAACAGGCTAGTGTTAACTTGCGCTATAGCTTCTGAAGCAACAACCTAAGTTCAGAAGATGTTCATTTTCCTCTAAATTCAAATTGTTTTAACTTGGGTCATTAACATCTGGTATCCGTCTTGAATTTTACAGTTTAGGACATTTCCATCTTGTTAGTGTCATTAATTTTACATTTTAGTTCATTTACACATGGTATCCATCTTTAAAATGTTACATTTTAGGACATTTACATTTGGTATACCTCTTTCATGTTGCATTTTGATTCTAACTGCAAAACATTGATTAAACAGTGTTGAAATAGTGTGAGCAGAAACACTGTTCTGTTATTGAAAATGTAATTTTTCATTTTGAGTAGAATGGGCTGTGTGCTCAGTAACTGATTATGGATCTCTTGTTTTGTTGTTGTAGCCCAGACCACTATGGAGGACCTACAGATCCGACCTCACCTACTGTTTGTGCACTCTTACAAGTCACCACACTTCTGTGACTTTTGTGGGGAGATGCTCTTTGGACTTGTTAAACAAGGCCTCAAATGTGAAGGTACGATTTGTATTGGTAGAGTACATCAGACTCCTCAGCTGGAACTTAGTAACTGTTTGGAGCCAAAAAGATTTAACTTTTATATAGATAAGGGGAATCGATCATAAGCATATCGTCATAGAAAAATCAATTTATTTAGAAGAAAAAATATATCTTGAGAATGATTGTAATAGTTATGTATGTATTTAGAATAAGTATAATATATTTTGATAGCTACATATACCACATATTTTAAAATACTTTTGAAAAGTTTTTTAAACCAGTTTTCTGATACTATGAGGATTAACTACAGAGCTGAAGGCCAGTAAGATTACTGCAACATAAGAGATCGGTGATATAAGTCACCTGTAAGTTAAAAAATACATCCAGAGCAGGAATCCACATTTCAGAGTACCATGAAGTTGGGTTATTGACTTGTTTGGGTTAAAATATCTTCACAACAGCCATGGTCATAGGAAGATGGTAGGGGTGTCGACAGCTGATAAAGTCAAAGACATATGCTTTTGTAGTATCATCACACTGAAATGTCATTACCTGTACACAACACCCCACCTTGTCACATTATATCTGACTACAGGGACACGTTTAAAGTGCCATCACACTGAAATGTTTACTGTTCAATGGTATACTTACAGGATATTATTAGTTCTGCTAGTGTTTATGTTTTCTTTGTTGTTTTTTTTTTTTGATAATTTTGAAGAGAAAAGCAGTGGATATTTTAAAGTTGTCACATTAGTATGTTGACATCGGGTTTTTTATATTGGATAGGATGTGGCTTGAACTTCCATAAACGTTGTGCCTTCAAGATTCCCAACAATTGCTCATATGATCGCCAGCGACGCCCATCAACTAGCAGCTTGTCATACTCTATGAGAGAAAAAGTTGACATGAACACAATGCCAGATGGAGGAAGTCAGGTAAGATTTAAAGATATATACCATCGCAAACCTAACTCCTGGTGTATACCATAACAAGACTGGTAACTGTGCAAACCTAACTTTTGGTATATACCACTACAAACTGATAATTCTGCAAACCTAATTCCTGGTATCACGATAACAAACCTGGTGAATGTGCAAACCTAACTCCTAGTACATACCATAACAAATCTAGACACCTCATATCTACCACAATAAGGCATAAAGACATATGATACTCATGAATGAATAATATTTTTTGTGGTCATGAATAATATTGTTATCTCAACTAAGAATATGGAGAAAACTGCCTATTAAAACTATTTTACTCACATGGTTTGTTCACAGACTCTAGCTGTACCAAATCAACAGTCACTCCCCCTGGTGGGAGAACCACGCAGCAGTCGCTCTAAGTCACTTGGTGGGCGACCAATCTGGATGGAACGAGAATTGTATGGGCGCATAAAACTCAAAGTGCCTCACACATTTAACGTTCACAACTACACGCGTCCCACCATCTGTCAGTGGTGTCGACGGTTACTAAAGGGACTATTCAGGCAGGGTCTACAGTGTAAAGGTGAGTAATACTGTATATATCTTTTAGTGTTGTCTACAACTACTGATTGTCTACAGCTACTGACAGGACTCTTAGGCAGGGACTGCAGTGTTATATATCTTTCAGTATTGGGGGCAGACACTGATAGGACTCTTCAAGCAAGACCTGCAGTGTAATTATATATCTGTCTGTATTGGCATCAGACACTGATGGGACACTTCAGGGAGGTTCTGCAGTGTAATTATATATCTGTCGATATTGGCATCAGACACTGATGGGACTCTTCAGGGAGGTTCTGTAGTGTTATTATATATCTGTCGATATTGGCATCAGACACTGATGGGACTCTTAAGGAAGGTTCTGCAGTGTTATTATATATCTGTCTGTATTGGCATCAGACACTGATGGGACTCTTCAGGCAGGGACTGCAATGTAATTATATATCTGTCTGTATTGGCATCAGACACTGATGGGACTCTTCAGGGAGGTTCTGCAGTGTAATTATATATCTGTCGATATTGGCATCAGACACTGATGGGACACTTCAGGCAGGGACTGCAATGTAATTATATATCTGTTGATATTGGCATAAGACACTGATGGGACACTTCAGGCAGGGACTGCAATGTAATTATATATCTGTCTGTATTGGCATCAGACACTGATGGGACTCTTCAGGGAGGTTCTGCAGTGTAATTATATATCTGTCTGTATTGGGGGCAGACACTGATGGGACTCTTCAAGCAAGACCTGCAGCGTAATTATATATCTGTCTGTATTGGCATCAGACACTGATGGGACTCTTCAGGGAGGTTCTGCAGTGTAATTATATATTTGTTGATATTGGCATCAGACACTGATGGGACACTTCAGGCAGGGACTGCAATGTAATTATATATCTGTTGATATTGGCATAAGACACTGATGGGACACTTCAGGCAGGGACTGCAATGTAATTATATATCTGTCTGTATTGGCATCAGACACTGATGGGACACTTCAGGCAGGGACTGCAATGTAATTATATATCTGTTGATATTGGCATCAGACACTGATGGGACACTTCAGGCAGGGACTGCAATGTAATTATATATTTGTTGATATTGGCATCAGACACTGATGGGACACTTCAGGCAGGGACTGCAATGTAATTATATATCTGTCAGTATTGGGGGCAGACACTGATGGGACACTTCAAGCAAGACCTGCAGCGTAATTATATATCTGTCTGTATTGGCATCAGACACTGATGGGACACTTCAGGCAGGGACTGCAATGTAATTATATATCTGTTGATATTGGCATCAGACACTGATGGGACACTTCAGGCAGGGACTGCAGTGTAATTATATATCTGTTGATATTGGCATCAGACACTGATGGGACACTTCAGGCAGGGACTGCAATGTAATTATATATCTGTTGATATTGGCATCAGACACTGATGGGACACTTCAGGCAGGGACTGCAGTGTAATTATATATCTGTTGATATTGGCATCAGACACTGATGGGACACTTCAGGCAGGGACTGCAATGTAATTATATATCTGTTGATATTGGCATAAGACACTGATGGGACACTTCAGGCAGGGACTGCAATGTAATTATATATCTGTCTGTATTGGCATCAGACACTGATGGGACACTTCAGGCAGGGACTGCAATGTAATTATATATCTGTTGATATTGGCATCAGACACTGATGGGACACTTCAGGCAGGGACTGCAGTGTAATTATATATCTGTTGATATTGGCATCAGACACTGATGGGACACTTCAGGCAGGGACTGCAATGTAATTATATATCTGTTGATATTGGCATCAGACACTGATGGGACACTTCAGGCAGGGACTGCAGTGTAATTATATATCTGTTGATATTGGCATCAGACACTGATGGGACACTTCAGGCAGGGACTGCAGTGTAATTATATATCTGTTGATATTGGCATCAGACACTGATGGGACACTTCAGGCAGGGACTGCAATGTAATTATATATCTGTTGATATTGGCATCAGACACTGATGGGACACTTCAGGCAGGGACTGCAGTGTAATTATATATCTGTCGATATTGACATCAGTTTAAAGATGAATAATACTCAGCTATATCACAATACATTGTAAAGGTAAGTATAAATATATAGATGTGATTTTACAGTGTAAATCAGCTTGAGGTGAGAATGCAAAAAGCAGTGTAATTCAGAGATTAGAGAAAAAGTGTTAATAAGGAGGAGATCTGAATATAAATTTGAGATGGTGATATAGTGTGAAAGTAAAAGTAAGTTAGATTGAGATGGTGATATAGTGTGAAAGTAAAAGTAAGTTAGATTGAGATGGTGATATAGTGTGAAAGTCAAAGTAAGTTAGATTGAGGTAGTTATACAAAGTGAAGGTCAAAGTAAATTAGTTAGAGATGGTGATACTGAGTAAAGGTCAAGGAAAAAAAGCTGGTGGTACAATATGAAGGTCAAGGTAAATAAACATGAGATAAGTTTGAGGTGGTAATACAGTGTTAAGGTCAATGTCAATAAGTTTTATGATGGTGATACAGTGTTAAGGTCAATGTCAATAAGTTTTGAGACTGTGATACAGTGTTAAGGTCAATGTCAATAAGTTTTGAGATGGTGATACAGTGTTAAGGTCAATGTCAATAAGTTTTGAGATGGTGATACAGTGTTAAGGTCAATGTCAATAAGTTTTGAGATGGTGATACAGTGTTAAGGTCAATGTCAATAAGTTTTGAGATGGTGATACAGTGTTAAGGTCAATGTCAATAAGTTTTGAGATGATACTGCAAAGTAGTGATGATGATGCAATATGAAAGTCAAAGTGAATAAATTTAAGATGATGATGCAGTGTGGAGGTTTTAATAAATTAGTTTTTAAGGTTAAATAAGTATCTTTTTGATGTTGATACGTTATAATACCTTCTGGTGATGAGTATAGTGTATGTAACCACCAGATAAAATGTTAGTTTTTATATAAGTTATTGATATTTTTGCCATGGAATTAATTAATGTTCAGTGTAGTAAGAACTCTTAGTTCTGGGAAATAACAGTTTATGTCGTAATGTAAGCAGCTGAGAGCAACTGTAAACAGGAAGGTCTTTGTAAATAATTTAGGTATCATTAATGACAGAATTATATTTATGTAGTCTGGTTAACCGGGGAGTAAGTGTTTATAAGGGCGTGGGCATCTGTGATCCTGACAGTGTTAAATCTGTACGAGTGATTTGACAATTAAAACCTGATACAGACAGGATTAGGAGGTTAGTGATCACAACAGTCACGGTAATGCTGCAATACCACGATACACAGGTGTGAATCAGGTCAGGTGACCTATAGGTCAATTAGATGTGTAGAGGATATCACTATGTGGCAAGTGAGGCAGCCAATGATCAGATGATGGAGTGCAGGGTCCTGTCTCATCTTACACTTCTGATAAATGAAAGTAATTAATTAGAAAATGTAGGAAAACATTGGGATGTTTGGTCTGCATATCAGCTAAGATGTCTGGTCTGCATATCAGACAAGATGTCTGGTCTGTATGTCAGTTTAGATGTATGGTGTATATGTAAGTTTAGATGTCTGGTCTGTATGTCAGTTAAGATGTCTGGTGTATATGTAAGTTTAGATGTCTGGTCTGTATGTCAGTTTAGATGTCTGGTCTGTATGTCAGTTAAGATGTCTGATCTGTATGTCAGTTAAGATGTCTGGTGTATATGTAAGTTTAGATGTCTGGTCTGTATGTCAGTTTAGATGTCTGGTCTGTATGTCAGTTAAGATGTCTGATCTGTATGTCAGTTAAGATGTCTGGTCTGTATGTCAGTTAAGATGTCAGGTCTGTATGTCAGTTAAGATGTCAGGTCTGTATGTCAGTTAAGATGTCAGGTCTGTATGTCAGTTAGGATGTCTGGTCTGTATGTAAGTTAAGATGTCTGATCTGAATGTCAGTTATGATGTCAGGTCTGTTTGTCAGTTATGATGTCAGGTCTATTTGTCAGTTATGATGTCAGGTCTATTTGTCAGTTATGATGTCAGGTCTGTATGTCAGTTAGGATGTCTGGTCTGTATGTCAGTTAGGATGTATGGTCAGACAAGATGTATGGTCTGTATGTCAGTTAAGATGTCTGGTCTGTATGTTAGTTTAGATGTATGGTCTGTATGTCAGACAAGATGTATGGTCTGTATGTAAGTTAAGATGTCTGATCTGAATATCAGTTATGATGTCAGGTCTGTTTGTCAGTTAAGATGTCTGGTCTGTATGTCAGTTAAGATGTCTGGTCTGTATGTCAGACAAGATGTCTGGTCTGTATGTCAGTTAAGATGTCTGGTCTGTTCAGTATGTCAAGTCTGCAAATCAGGGATATTTAAATAGTCACATGTCTGGTCTGTAGATCATTGATACGTGTAAAAACATGGAGATATCTGGCTTGTAGATCAGGAACATTAAACATTGAGATATTTTGTCTGTATATCAGGGATATGCAAACATTGTGATACCTAGGTCTATAGAACATCAATGATATGTAAACATTGTGATACCTGGTCTATAGAACACCAATGATATGTAAACATTGTGATACCTGGTCTATAGAACATCAATGATATGTAAACATTGTGATATCTGGTCTATAGAACATCAATGATATGTAAACATTGTGATACCTGGTCTATAGAACATCAATGATATGTAAACATTGTGATACCTGGTCTATAGAACATCAATGATATGTAAACATTGTGATACCTGGGTCTATAGAACATCAATGATATGTAAACATTGTGATACCTGGTCTATAGAACATCAATGATATGTAAACATTGTGATACCTGGTCTATAGAACACCAATGATATGTAAACATTGTGATACCTGGTCTATAGAACACCAATGATATGTAAACATTGAGATATCTGGTCTGTATATCAGGGATATGCAAGGATAGAGATGTATGGTCTATAGATTTGACCTTGAGATGTCTGGTCTACAGATTTGACCTTGAGATGTCTGGTCT